AGAACCCATCATCAGCATGGACGCATGTCCTCTGGAATGGTGGTTGAAGCATGAAGGGACATACGAATCTTTAGGGCATCTGGCATGTAAATATCTTGTGATGTAAATATCTTGCAGCAACAGTGCCATGCGAATGCCTATTCTCACTTTCAGGTGACATTGTAAATAAGAAGCGGGTAGCATTATCTCTCTAAAGTTTTACATTGTTTTATTTTTGAGTAGTGATGTAACAAAAAAATCTAGATTTGTAAATTAGACTTGCACGATAAAGAGATTGCACTACAGTACTTATATGAGGTGAATTGAAAAATACTATTTCTTTTGTTTGTCATTTTTATAATGCAAATATTTGTAATCAAAAATAATAATATAAAATGAGCACTGTTACACTTTGTATTCTGTGTTTTAATTTAAATCCATATATTTGAAAATGTAGAAAAACATCCAAAAATATTTAGTAAATTTCATTTGGTATTCTATTGTTTAAAAGTGTGATTAAAACTACAATTAATCAGAATTATTTTTTTTAATCACAATTAATTTTTTGAGTTAATTGCGTTAGTTAACTGCGATTAATCGACAGCCCTAGTAAAGAGAACTTGTAAAATCATCATATAAATAATACCAGCTGAAATTTGTAACTTGGAAAGCACGTAATGCTGTAATGTAACAACGCTGCACAATACGGTTCCCGGAGACTGGTATCATATAGAACCTTTCCCCCTGTACTATATTATTATTGGCTTAGAGCAATAAACCTGGCTGACATTGGTTATTTGGCATCTTGAGTATATTTTATAACAAACCAAAGTGAGATCAAGCAACTGACTATACAATTTATCAACAGTAGCCATCACACCAGCTTTATACCACTTAATCTGGGCCATTATTTGATAGCTTTATCATTCACTATGGCCACATGGTCTTCAAGGTTTCAGCAACAATAGAATTTAGGACTTTCTACTCCAAAAATACAGGCTACTACCATGGAAGTGACAGGAGAATCTCCCTTACCTGCAGTAGTATTCGTGCTCACGTTTTCTGTAGACTAGCCACTAGAAGGCCACAGTCACAAATAACTGAGCAGGTCTGAGCTATCTAGTAGGTGGGATCTCTCTCTCTCTCTCACACACACGCTATATATTACCTCCTCCACAGGATGCTGAACAAGGAAAGAAATCAGTTTCCCTCCATCGGTGAATGATGGGCTGATAGAAGATAAACTGAACCGCGCTGTCAGCAGCACCAGCGTAACGGACCTGAAAAAGATGTAATGATAATGGTAAAGCTGCCACGGTTTGTGACACTAACACTCATTTTGCTGTAAGGATCTTGTAAATACCATGCATTACATGAAATACCAGAGGCATTTTGTAATTAAAAACTGAGAGGCACAAACAGAATGTTGCCTCTTGATATTCAGACTGAACCATTGCCAGAAATTACACTCAGACAAACGGTTAGCGAGTTGGGTCCGCGGTGTTTTACAGCTTGTGTTCTGTAATGATGAAGGAACAGAAGTGTTATTGCTATTGAATAACTTTAAGGAGAGCTATCACACAGAGGACCTGGACTGAACTTCACACCACTGTGTGTGTAAATGCCAGTGGAGATCATCCACTGGCATTTACTCATTTAAAACAACACACCTTTCCTCTGCCTCACTCCAATGAAGGTTACATTCTTAAGAGGGGGAGTGGCTTCAAGACAATGAAAGGCTAGACACTGTAGTAGCATAGAAAGAAAGATAGCTGATTGTACCAGAGAGAAACACATGCGCATAAAAGAAACAGATGCAACTATCAATGTTACTTTAACATGTAAAAGGAAGTAAAATACTTCAACTAGAGCAAACTAAAGCTTTCAGGAAGGTCTAATTCTTTACTGTGCCAGGAGTATCTCTTATTCGGTCTGTAATGCATTCATATTCTTTCTCTTTACTGTGGTGCTGTTATACATTATAAACTAGTCCTTTTAGTTAATTGAATTTTGGATTTCCACATACAGTTTAGGATCCTACTTAGGATCTGATTGTATTTTTAATTACAGGCTCAGGTTCTTGGTGGTGGCCAAGGCGCATATGCTGACACTCAGGAGGGATGTGTGTGCATGTGTATTGAAGTCATTCTTTGTGCTCCTCCCCCCCGTCTTGGGTGATCTGTGTGCTGGACTGGTCCCCTGGCATAAAGCAGAGTGCCTGGCTGGTAATGGCCCCACGGGGTTGACAACAACGAGGAACTGTAGGGCACAGGGAAGCCCTGGTCCCACACCCTTTCCCCCAGTGATGCTCCTTACACTGACATCTGGGAGGGGGATAGCATGGGAGCTGTTGTGCCACTAGAGAATCCCCCTAGGCTGGGTGTTATTGCCAGGGCTGAATGTGTCAGTGTTGCTAGGGCTGTTCTGCACCAGTACCATGGTGCAAAGGGGACACAGCACAGGGGAGATTCTGACCCACAAGTCAGAAATGGAGATGGCTTATTAGGTCACCGAGTCCTTCCCCTTGCCAGTGCAAGATTGTTCCCTGAAGTGAGTTTTTTAGTGCTTTATCCAGACTAGTTTTAAATGTTTCACACTCTCTCTCTCTCTCTCCATATAGTCAATTAGTTGCTCCATTTTAATCTTTTGGGCTCTAATTGTTTTTAACTCTGTCTTTATTTCTCCCTCCAAAAATTGAGAGGCACTGACAAGGGAAAGGAACTAGACAGAAAAACAAGAATGAAAAAAATGACAAATCAAGTTGAATTGAACAGCAGAGTCTGTGTTGTGGGTTTCTCCCCTGCCCTCCGTAGATGGACAGAAACATAATAACAAATCACAGCAAATCTTGAACTGCATGAAGGGGGAAAGAAGAAAACGGAAATGCTGCAGGATATGTTGGGGGCCACAAGAGTTCTGGTCCACTGAGAGTATGCTGGTCTCTTCTAATTAGAGTAAACACTGAGGTAAATTCCCAACAGAAAAAATACAGCTGTAGCAATACAGGTTCCTCAACAAATGAGAGGCCTCTTGTATGGATTCATATCATTTAGTTCTGTATGTCAGAAACAGGATATCTAATTCCTTGTGCTGGGATGGTCCATTAATCAACTCTTCAGAAAGACCTTTCTTAGTTCACAAGAGCCCAGCACACTCCTGGGACTAGCACAGTATCATGCTGGAAGCCATTAGAGAAGGTCTCTGGTTTGAACACACAGAAACAAAATTCACTGGGGAGAATTTACTTTTCCTCTTTAAAATAAAGATCAACAATGATGCTTAAACCAAAAAGATCCACTCAGCTGTGCGGTCTTAGGTGGAACGAGATAAATCAGAAGATAGATTACACAGGGCTTAGTAAAAGGGGGGGCGGGGGAAGGAGTTTCACATCAAAAGTCAGGAAGACATAATAACCCATCTCCCCAAAGAGTATCCCTGTGTGTCTGTGATTGTCTGTCTGATCTGACAGAGAGAAAAGGCAGATGCGGATCTTTTCCAGAGCTAGGTGGAAGTTACCCACACAACCATGACAACCACATGGGTACAAAGGAATCGCAATGAGCTACAGATGCGAACTGAATGATACTAAATAAGTCAGGTGAAAGAATCAGACAAATCACTGTTTATTTTCTCTATTGAGTACTATAAGCACAGGAAGACCTGTGTATACTGATTCCATGCAGCAACAACGTCTTTTGAATTTTGTTTGACAATTTGTTAAAACTAAGGGTTTGATCTAGCAGAAAATATCAGTGGTTGTCTAACCCAGGCAAGACCCAGAAAGTAACACATGCTGGCTCTGTAGCACATCAAATGCTTCAGGAGACAGTTCAGATTGTTGCACAGGGCCAACTCCCACACACACAGTCCAAATTGGAAGACTAGGAAACTTGTGAAGCTGTCCCATCGCCAGTAGCCTAGCTGTCCTTCTCCTAGACTCTGCCCTACCAATGGTGGTAGCCACCACCCTGAGAAGAGGAGGCAAAGTCTTTTAAAATAATAGAGAGAAGAAACTCCAACTGACGTTGATTTGCTGTGTGGTCCTAGAGATATCACTGAGTCTCAAAATGGCATATACCCATTTAAAACTGTTTTTGTAAATCATTTATCAAAGTGGTGCACATGTGTGTGTACACAGGCACCAGCTGTTTAGTTCCCTGATGAGTAACCGCAATTTGATAAAATACTATATTGATTTGGGAAAAACTGCAGCATCCTGAATGAAAACCAACAAATAACCTAACATTTGAAGCACAAAATTAACTATGTTTTGGAACAATTAAATTTCCAAATGGCCCTTATGTAGCAACAAATTTGCTAGTGTAACACCGACAGACCCTGGTAGTTGGCGGGTGGGATCAAACGTGGGACCTCTGGAGCTTAGTGCATGAGCCTCTCTATAGCATGAGCTAAAAGCCAACTGGCTGTTATCTAAGCCTGTAGAGCAGACTCATTAATTGCTCTCTCTTTAAGTGGTCTCAGTGGCAATAGATGGGATAGAACACCACACCCAGAAGGTGTGTAGGTTACACTGGCACTGTGCTTAATCCTGCTAGCTCTGGGGTTAAGTAGGTTGAGCATCCCAGCCGGTTGCCCTTCACTCTCATTGAAGTCAGTGGGAATCGGGGGAAGGAGGCTCAGCACATCAGATAGGTGCTAACATCTTTCAGGAACAAGACGCAACAGAAGACCACCAGTTTTGTGAAGATTTGGGAGAATGCATATGCTCACATCTGCCCCAGGGGAACCAACTGGTTACTTCCTCTTTGACAAACAGTCACTACTGATTTTTTTTCTCTAAGGCAGAAAGGAAGGAAGGGCCCCGTAATTAATTCTTATCCCACATTTCTCTGCTTTTTAAAACTGTTTTTGTAAATCATTTATCAAAGAGGTGAACGTGTGTGTACACAGGCACCGGCTGTTTAGTTCCCTGATGAATAACTGCACTTTGAGAAAATACTATATTGATTTGGGAAAAACTGCAGCATCCTGAATGAAAACCAACAAATAACCTAACATTTGAAGCACAAAATTAACTATGTTTTGGAACAATTAAATTTCCAAATGGCCCTACTGTAGCAACAGATTGAAATATTTAGGCTTTATTTTACATAGTGCTGAGCTGTCCTTTGAGTCATCAGAACAAAATTAGCCTATATCATTAAAAAAAACCTATTTGGTTTTTGCAATGTATGCCTCTGCAATCTATTTATGTCTGTTATAGATCACAGTAATCTGACCGCCAGGACTGTACTAAGTTTACATCAGCAGTTGTGCTGTTTAATCAGCAGGCATTATTAACTCATCCTTTCCTGCCCATCAGGTAGTTGTCAGTGTACGATATATGGTCAAGTAAGGATGTCTGCATTCTAATAAAATTCCCAGAGACTTTATGGAATTTGTGTGCATGTGTGTGTTTGTGTTCTTTTTATGTATAATCCAAACCAGGGGTTGCATCACTCTGCACTCTCTTTTGTCTAGTCAAGTTTGATCTGGCATGTTATGATCTAACTCAGTCACCACCATCCCTACCATAAAAGTTCTGAAGGATTTTTCTGCATCATTATCACAGATGCTTTTGCAAGTGCCAAATCCCAAACCATCAAGTTTGATTTCTTAATGGCAAACTGAATATTAAAGCCTTATATTAAGTAACATATAAAGAAGGGGGGGGGGAGTGAGCCACATCTGGCATATGTAATTTTGACCTTTTTATGTTAATAAAAACAAAAATGGCAAGACTCTTTTGTACAAAACTTTCCTTTCTATAGTAATAGTGCTTTAATATTCCTAATTATATCTACAATGAGAGACCTAGGGTGTGAAGGAGACAAATTGCTGTTCCTAATTTGTATATGCAGGAAAAATAATTTAAGATGATCATTTAAAATAAAACAATAAGCACAACAGACTAAATAAATAGAGATGCTGAAGGCTTTCAATTGTATAGTATAAAACAGAATTAGAGGCTGATTCCTTTAATACTTTTTCGTTCCTTGGAGGAAGGAATGCATGGCGTTTGAGCCCCACGGATTATTCTCCCAGTCGATTTTTGGCCTCAACTTCCCTTAGTTTCAAAGGTCCCGAGAGTGGGGCCAACTGTCTTTCTGACAGATGAGAGCTCCCTCTGGTGCCTGTCAATGTCACTTCTTAATCAGCCAAGGGAATCACCAAAAAATGACAGGAGGCACCTTACTGACCAGGGACCAAGCACAAATCTTTGTAGTGGTGTCAGCCTCTGCTCACCAGGAACAAGGGATCAAGCATGATCACTGGGGCG